TAAAATTTGGTGAGTAATCTAAATATGATTGTTACAAACAAATGGTCTAGATGTAAATAAAATAAGAGTTTATAGATAAACTTTTAACAATAATTATGTATTATGGCAGGTATATTTAAGGTAACTTCCAAAATCTCTCTGCTAACTTGAAACTTTGAAGTTTTACTAGGTGAAATTAAATGATAAAAAATTCATTGTATATCTGGGTCATTTTCAAATAAGATAAAATTTTGAAACATTATTGCTAAACATGTCTAAGTTTATCTACTTTTGGCTTCTTATTACAAAGAAACTAAAAGATGTTTGGGTCTATTACTAAACATGTCTTGTATTTTATTAAAAATTGTACTATGAAGTAGCATGTTTCTAGAAATTATGAAAAGTGTTTATAAACTTGTCAAGCCACAGAACGCTAATATAAAAGACAGTTCATAATTGCTTCCTTCTTAGTTTTCACTAAAATTAAAGGTCTGTAAGGTTTAAGAATTCTAATTAATATATGTGATTAAAGCTACTAAAAATTAATAAGCTACTAAAAATTAATAAGGAAAACATATTTGTATTCAAGGAAAGTAAGATGTATGTTTTCAGTAAAGAAGGTGTAAATAATGAAAATATTTTTGTTTGTTTTGTTAAGAAAGATAAATTTGTCCTAAAGTACCAGGAGGGAGGAAAGAAGGCATGGAACAAATTCTGAATGTAAGAAAAGAAAGTTATAGAAGGTTTGTGGAGGAGGAACCTTGAGGAAAGAGTTATGCATGATCAAGTTGGCTAAGATTGAAATGAATTTAAGTAAATAAGTTTAAATATCAAAGGTAAGCTGGTGCAAAGTTAGAATTTGGCTTTCTCTCTTAAAAAGACAACCTTTGAGTAAGGCTACCTAAAAGACAGAAAATCCATGTTTTGTTAAAATAATTTCCAATGTTCGAAAAGACTGAGGTATCTCTATTAAGGCTTTTTTTTCACCGTTTCTGTTGTCACTTTGATTAAATGGATAACTAAGCATTGCTTCCTATTTGACCAAGTGTTTTAAAACTTTTTTTTTTTTAATTTTTTGTTTATTGCAGTAACATTGGTTTATAACATTGTAAAAATTTCAGGTGTACATCATTGTACTTCTATTTC